CTAGATTATAGGTTGGATTATTGTAATCAAAACCTCAAGATAATGCTATAATCTTGGTGAGACCTGTCTTTTGATGATTATAGGTATTTACCACTTTAACCAACAATAACAAAGATCCAAACACTTTAATTATCAAAACTCATAATTCTGATTATAATAGTTCTATACATAATCCACATTATATTAATCCAAATAGATTTCTTAGGTGTCGCTTCGAACAACAAGTAGTAGTAACTAATTAAAATTCAAACTTGTTGACAAAACGTCATCTAGTTATAACTGGAGGTAAATGTAATAGCTAACCAAAGATTTGGTTCTAGCTTCTAAGGGATATGAACTTTGCAAAAGCCGTGTTAGATTTGTGCTAATTTTTTAAAAGATGTTAAAATGAGTCTAAATGAGAATAAGGTCTTGTTTGACAAGACTCCAAATGAGTCCAACTCGTTGATACAATGTTTAGAGGTAAAGCTAGAGATAGTGGTTTCACTGCCTCCTAGTTTATTTTGAGAAGAGGGAAAATGATTCCTCGCTTTAGTGAACGAATAAACCAGAGCTGGAGACGTATGAAGCTCTACCAAATAGAACCTAATATCGTCTTTACTTTAAAGTGAGAACAATACTACTAATTACTAATTAGCAACAACACATAAGAAAATATGGGACAAGTGGATAAAATAATTTTCTAACTTACTTCCCCCCCCCCCTACCCACCCCACCCCTCCCGGTTCAGTTTATAAGGCATTTGGCTTACATCAAGAGTCAAACCTTATATTTTTTATCAATAATTTGGCTAGCAATTTTAACTATTATAATACAAATTTGATGTTATTAGATTTGCAATCAAATATACTATCAATAATTATAAGTTTATAATAATAAATAAGATAATATAAAATAAATAAATAAATGTCAAAAAATAATTTAGGATACCGTACGTGCCATGCCAAAGTACGTCTGATAAACGGGACCGACGAAATATACTGTACATTGAAGAGTAAAGTCTATGACAAGGTGTCCAAGTGAGTAAATTCCGTCTAATGCTTTGCAACAGAGCCCAGATTTGGCCCGCAATCCGGAGCAAACAACCATCGCTCGGGCTAATGGTAATCTCCTCATGCCCGGCCCGGGACCCGGGTGACGAATTCCCCACCGGCGACCATCTAGGGGCGCAAGTGGCAGTGTGACAGAAGAACCCGCACGGGCACGCCAGATGTGCGTGGCGTGGGCGCGACCGCGCGAGGAAGGCTCGTACGTCGTACGCTTTCCAAGCGGTTTGCGTGCCGGCGGGCGACGGCGCCAGCCGCCGCCAGGCACGGGAAACGGCGTCGAAGCTCGAAAGGGACAGAGGCAGACGGGGTCGGGGTGGGGTACGGCTTTCGCCGAAAGGCTATGCGCGGGCGCACTTTCCAGGCAGGCCACCACGGGCGGCGGCACGTCACATGGCTGGCTGGGTGGGTGCAGTGCACTGGTGCAGGGCGGGGATCGGCGCGGGCGCCTCCGCGTCCTCGCGGACCCAGAAAGGCGGCGCGTCCGCGAACCCGAAACGGGAAGCCTTCCGGAAGAAGGCCGGACAGGATCGGATAGCATCGCCGCGGACCGTCGCTGTCGCATGGTTAAACTAGCACAGGATAGAGATGGCACGGACGGAGCCTTGTGTTTGCCGGTAACATCCGTCACTGGGGCCCGTTTGGTTACAGGGACAAGAGACTATCTCCGATCTCCTGCAACTAAAAATCTAAACGTAAGATTATTTTTTGGTGCGATTTTTTTTTTATCGCTTCTTTCTTTTGGCCATACGATACCCCGCGCGATAGAAAAAGAAACTATCATCCCTACGATCCCCGCCTGCTTTGAAGAAAACAAATCGATCACCTGAGGCCACATGCATGAAAGAAAACAATAATCATGCATGGAAGAAAACAATTGGCAAAGATCAAGCAAGACTTCTCCCTTCCGGCCATGCGATACCCCACGCGATAGAAAAAGAAACTGCCATCCTTGCGATCCCCGCCTGCTTTGAAGGAAACAAACACCTGAGGCCACATGCATGGAAGGAAACAATTGACAAAGATCAAGCAAGACGACTCAATGAGGTTGGCTCTTAATTTTAGTGTTTCCAGCATGCAGACCTAAAATTAAAAAGTGGCTGCTCCTTGAGAACATCAGTGATGCCAAATAAAAGATGTGCATGTTATATATGGTGAGACTGGTGAACCTTCTGTAATTTCCTAAACGAATATTCCCACCATTCATATATAGGTCCATTCCCCTGCGTTTCTTTGTGCTCCAATTAGCATATAATATGAAAGTATTGTTGTGTTCATCACGACTTCCAGTTGACTACTCCCATTAGCATATACTTCCTCTGCCCCAAAATATAAGTCGTTATGAGATGTGTGCAGGTCAAACTTTCTCAACTTTGACTAGATTTGTAAAAAATACGTGCAACATTTAACAATCAATTGGTCGACTCCTGAGGCCACATGCATGTAAAAAATACATGTATTATAATTGGTTGAAGTTAAAAAAAAGTTGACTTCTCGGAAAACGAGAATAAATTCTATTTTGGGACAGAGAGGGAGTATATGAAAGCAGTGTTGAAATTATTTTAACAATCAAGTTCGTCTCTGTCTGATTGGTAAGCTTAGACATCATAATGATATCAAAAAAATTCGACTCTCATGGACACCCTCATGGATCAATGCAAAGCATCCCAATCCTACAGCATACACAAATGGCAACCTTAAAGACTATCTTAGACGTTCTGGTATTAGAGTATATACGTGCAGACACATAGGCATGGTGGTACAAGTGAGCAGCCAGCAGGAGTCAAGAGTTAGGGGTGTTTGGATCCCAGGATTAAACTTTAGTCCCTGTCACATTGAATTTTTAGATATCAATTAGGAGGACTAAACATGAGCTAATTATAAAACTAATTACATAAGTTGTGGCTAATTCGCTTGCCAGCGCCGTGTACAGAATGGTATGAAGATGTGGTGGAACTTATTCGTGGATTTGTTGGCGTACGAAAGAAATGAATATCGAAAATCTCTTCCTGCTGGTATAAAAAATGATCTTAGCCACATCACGGAAAAGATCTACACAGTAGAGTTTGTGAGCCTGCGACGCCATGCTTTCTGTGACTGTGTAAATTTCACGAACTTAGCTTTTTGGATTAAATATCACTTTAACGTCGGTCATATACTTTTACAGTATTGTTATCTTATCGTGCGATCCGTATGTTTTTAGTACAAAAGTTTAGCTATCCCGTAGCAACGCATGAGCATGAACCTATTTATATATATATACTCGAACCTATGTGTACATGATTATATGGAGATGCAGTGAAACTTATTCATGAATTTATTGGCGCACGAAAGAAATAAATATCGTAGAATTCTTTTAGCCGATATAAAATATTATTTTTGCCGTATTACGAAAAAGTCTATACAGTAGAGTTTGTGAGCCTGCGACGTCGCGCTCTCCGTGACTGTGTTAATTTCATAAACTTTGCTTTTTGAATTAAATGTCACTTTGATGTCGATATTTAATTTAACAGTATTGTTATCTTATCGTGCGATCCGTGTGTTTTTAGTACAAAAGATTTTGTTGTCCCGTAGGAACGCACGGGCACGCTACCTAGTAGACTAAAAAAGATTAAAAGATGAACTAAATAACATGTTCGGTTTCAGGGACTAAAGGGCTGAACAAAGACTAAAATATCTTTCTTCTTCCTTTGGACATAGCTTAGGGAGGAGAGAGAGAGAGGGGGGGATAAGGGCTGTAAAGTAGATCCATTAATCTTAAAAAGTCTCTCTCAAGAGATTAGTAGACTAGAGATTAAAAATCCTTCTAATAGTTCCTCCTATTTAGTCAAAAGGAACTAAAAAAATAGTCTCTATGTCTCCAGCCCTCTGCAACCAAACAGACCCTAGATCGTGACCTTGAAAATCTGTCACCGGATCGTCTAAGCCTACCGGTAGCTTCATCCTTTAAAGTTTGCCTTGTGTTTATTGTGAGTTTGCCAAGCCAAAAATTGAGTGTCAGCTCTATATTATTGGAGTTGTACGCTCTCAGCTCATGAGTCATATTAGTGGGAAGTGTTATGACATGCTTTGGCGTGTTATGACGAGCAAATTACATAATAGAGACGAATTGATCCTAGATCTAGATCAGATGGTTGAGTTCATTGCGGTAAAACCTGTTTACCCATATTTAAATTTTGACTTGGCAAGGGTGCTTCTATTTTTCTGGATTTATTCTAGAATTTAATGATGTTATGCTTTTAGTGATCGAGGCGTCTGTGGTGACTTCGTGAATCTCGTGATTTATCGGCTCAGTCCTTTGAAGGTGTTCATAGGAGTAGGGTTTGCATACATATGTTCATATGGGTGAGTGTGCGTGCAGGTGCTCAATGGAGTTTGGTTTGTGTACATGTGTTCATAGAGGTAAATATACGTGCGTGTTGTGGACGTCTACATTGTACTGTGTAACTCTAAAAACAAATACATAATAGAGAACTGCCCATTGGTACTCTGTTCATCAAAGGTATCTAAGATACTTGAGAGGGTGATCGTCGTCTATTAGCACGACCCAGACCAGAAGCTTTCTTCCAGTGACTTTGGTCTAGTCCATGCTTTTGAAGACCTGACCTACTACTCCTAGATCAACAGACTAGAGAAAGTTATATATAGTGGATGGGTTTTGTCTTTTGTTCAAAAGAATTATCAGATTTTTTCCACACCTGTAAAACCGAATTTTATTACCATGGCAACGAAATTACAAGAAGCCTCAGTTTTAGAAACCACAAGCTTAGAGTACCATCAAAAGATGAACCCATGCATACGGACGCAAAGGGAACTTATGCATGGATACAACCTACCGCTACTTCCCAGAACTACGAAACGATACGCCAACAGAAAAGACCCAGCAGGTTTAAACGGGTTCCATACAAGGCATATAGCCCTGCGCACCAACAGGTTTAACACGACTCTGGCTCCTCAACCAGTGAAAGGAATCAGCTGTTGATCATCGTTGGTCTGAGATTGCACATCTTGCTTGTGGAACGAGAGGGCCACCATCTTCAATGTTTTCGCTCCCTGTATCATCTCTCCCTGTATCACCTGCTGCTTTAAGCCATCCTTCAGCATACCTGCCCAGTATATGAGAAAAGAGCACATCATACACACAATCTCAGTAGGAGATTTGATTCTTTTTTTGTCAAAGCACACTGAATTTCTGGTCCGCCAGATTGCCCAACAGACAGCAGACAGACCATGAGGTAGAATTTTTTTTTTGTCAAAGAATTATTTGCACGACAACATAATTCGAAGCTGGAGCCAATTAGCCAGACAAGCCTCGGCCCTTCCAGGTTCCTCAAAAACTCTTGTAGCATCAACCATACTTTTTTTTTTGTAAAGAGCTTAGGTGGAATCGTGCAGCGACAGCCGACAGCGACATCCACAAACCTTATGGACATACGGAGCTAGCAGAATTACACGCACAAGAAAATCAGACGAACTTGCATCGTCATCAAAGAAAACTATAATCAACCTTGCCGTTCTTTTGTCTCCTAAACTAACATGAACGTCGAACCAAGGGGAAATATTCCCAGCCGGTTCTTTTAAAATTATTTTGCAGGTCAGACATCGGCGCAATTACGTGCTAGTACAGTCTACCGCATGAATCTTTCAAAAGAAAAGAAAAAACTCTACTGCATAAAAGTCGTAGTGAAATCGCAGATATACTTTGACTAATATTCCAGTATAGCAGTGGCAGAGGATGAGAGGAAAAAACTTTCTTTCTCAGTAGCAGTATACGGTTCCTTTCGAAGAGAAAGGAGGTCAAGAAAGACAATGCGCAGCAAAAGAACAAACGATTAAACAACTATAGTCGAAACAAATCGGAGCCAATCAGTCGCATAAACTTTCAGCATGGCCACTTCCCAAATAATGGGCAGAAAATACAGTGGCCAGGTCCCACTATCATGATTCGCAAGCTTTTCGTCCATAGTGGACTAGTATTAAACGAGCGGTACTGCTTATATTCCAGCAAAAGCTGAGAACAATTATAAAGTATGCTGGCAAAACCTAGATAAGAACATCCTCTTTTTCCGGTGATGAGTCTGGTGGACCGTTATGCCAGTCATAATCTCAGTCACATACGGGTTGTTATATGACTGAACAAATAATTTAGATGTCCCTAGTTGAAAGCAGCACACAAGGGAAAAGCTTCAAGTTAGATCGATCAATAGCAACAGCTAAGAAAACTGGCCCATAAAAGATGAATCTACCGTAAAATGCAACTGAAAACGACTATTGCAATCTAAGGACTGAAATTTGGCCACAGACACTGCACAGACCAAAGAGATGTGTATTGCCGGGAAAGATGGCAAGGTAGGTGATGAACCTGCTTAGATGGGCTTCAAATAGGATGGCCACTATATATATATGTATATAGTCAGTCCTTTTATCCCAGTTTCTGGTTCCACATATAGAGCCCATAAATATTTGTTTCTTCATTTGCAGCCCAAGCGCCTAAGTTTGTTCGACCGGGCATGAGCAAGAGCAAGTCATGGGAGTAGTTCCCAGGCACATCCCTGATGCCCTGATTGGGACTAGGAAGTATAATATCTAGAAGTAAATTCGAGCAAAATGACTAGCCGTCAACCAACCCACGGCTTAGCCACTAGCCAGGAGGGCAAGTGGAGCTTTCAGGCTCCATATCCAAGTGGAGTTAGGGCATGCCTGCCATGCACTACGCAAGGTTTCATTCCATAGTGTAAACAATGCAGTCATTCATCCAGATAGCCTTGCAAAAGACTTGTCACAGCACAAGTCAGCAATTTCAGCGATCAGCCACATAACCGTCAGTTGCCAGGATAATTGTCCACTGCTGTCTGCCGTTGCAGCATAGATGGAAAAACGCTTTATATGCAGTGGTTGACACCTGATAGTGTATCTGTAAACATACACTTATGTGAAGTTTGAAAATCTAATATACTGCTTTGGTAAGAGAACATTATCAACTTACAATAAAGCAGACAAAAGGCCCGTTAGGGAGGAATTACCAACATCACTCTCACCCGAGGGTAACATAACAAATAAGAAACAACAAATCTACACTTCCCACCTAGGAACTGTTGTCTGCCTCGCCCTCTTCAGTTGCATCTGAGAATCGCATAAAAGAAGGTTCTGAGAAGTTTGCAAAATATCATAAATCTATAGTAGAGTAGCAGGAAAATTGCATCCTTCCAAACAAATGAAATAATTGATTAGGTAATGTTAGCATGATTGAAAGAAGTGCACACACTTATGAAGATTTCACCATTATAGCCCCTTATTTTACTAGTGTTAAAGAAAAAGCTATTGTTTTACTGAACCTTACTACACTCTTTGGCTCTTTCCTGGGCTGAGATCTAAATTTTCAATCAAACTGCACCTTTAGTCTATGATATTTGACACCAGCGGATGAAATAATTGTCTACTTATTGCTTCTGGAACTATCCATGAGCATTGAATCTGAAAATAAACTGATGTTTATTTACTGTACACTTTGCCATAATGAAGCATAGAAGAGAAGGTACTATTCTGTAGAGTGCAGTATTAGAAATAGATATGACAGACCTGTGCACAGGGAAGCATGTGAATACTAAAAGAGAGGTTTGATATCTGTCTTAGGTTTATTATGATTTTTTTTTGTTTGTTTACTTTGGTGTCGTTCTTTGCCCACCCTTAAGTAGGACCTTTAGAGCAACTCCAAGAGTCTTTTTATATGCTTCTGTATTGATAGGAATAGAGATTTTGGTGAGAAAAAGTATCAACAGTTTCTCCAATTAGATCTCCAAATATTGGCATCTTCTATTCCTGGTTTCTCACTAGCCAAAGATAGAGAGCGGGGATTGATCTCCAAAATGCGCACAAGATATAAAGAAGTTGTTGGAAGGTGGAAATATAGGGAGAGCGATTTAGTCAAATGACTCTTCAAATGAGGATTTAGAGAGAGAGAGAGAGAGTCTAAGAAACACTCTTGGAGATGCTCTTAACATTGAAGATGACCCATGGGATAAACACTCACAGCACAATTCAGCTTTAAGATATTATTCTGCGATATTACCAACTGGTTCAACTGTAACAGATACCTATAAACCTCTCCTTGATCCCATCTTAGGTGCAGCATACTTAGTTTTTACATGATCTTATGAAAATGCATTTTGAACATTGGAAAATAAAAAAATGAGAAATATGGTAAGAGGTACATTTCTTATTCAGCAAAACATAGAGCATGTTTGGCTACACATGGCTAGTTACTAGTTGGGCTAAAAATTAGCCCAAATTATCTATGGTTGGCTAGCTAGTTGGCTAACAACTAGTTAAAGACTTGTCTAAAAAATTAGCCCTCCTGTTTGGATGCACTAGAGGTAATTTTTAGCTAGCTAGCAATTAGCCCTTGGATCCAAACAGGACCATAGTCCTGTACAAACCTGATATTCAAACCCCATGCCTTGGCCCTTGAGTAGTATGCACTCTCGGTGTTTCAGTGGCCATCATTATCAACAATTAATTTACCATTACATCTCTGTGCTATTGAGACCTCATGCTATGACTGCATAAACTGTGAACAGAAAGTGTAGTTTAGGCAATTCAAATTTACATTGTAGATAGAATGTCCCCCCAAATAATGGTGATCCAATTCAATTCAATTGGCATTACTGCTTTGTAGCACTACCATTTGCTATTCTCCTTCAACCTGTTTAGAGACATGTACTAACTGAAGGATAGCAGTTACTAGCAGAGTCCATATATGCCCAGCACAGGAATGATCAAGCAGCGCAGTGCAATCAGCATAGCAACAAGTTACTGTGTAGCTATGTACCTTGAGCAGCTTCTGCTGTGGTGCCTTCTTCGCCATCATCCTCATCATCAGTATAGTAGTCATCAGAAACGCTGGCTCCGTACCTGGAGTTGAGGTAGTCTACAGCAGCAGGAGTAAAGAAGAGCTTGCGGGCGTCGAGTATGTCGTACAGGTTGAGCGTCCTGGGTGTGAGCATCTTGAGGGAACCGATGTTCCTGCCGCTGAACCGCACATTGTCGTCGAACTCCGTGGCAAAGAACATGGCTTTCTGCTTGGGGTCGAGCCCCCACCGCTGCAAAGCGGCCACGAAATCCCTGGTCTTGGGCCCCGACGCGAAGGCCTCGTCGAACTCCTCGACAACGAAGGCGTCCTCTGCCACGGCGGCGCTGGCGAGGGCAGTGGAGATGGCGAGGCGCTTCTCCTTGCGGTTGATCTTGATGGACCAGTCGCGGGGCTTGGGGCCGAACACGACGCCACCGCCGGGCCGAAGCGGGGTGCGCTGCGACCCGCGCCGCGCCTTCCCGGTCTTCTTCTGCTGGTAGGGCTTCTTCCCTCCGCCTCTGACCTCGCCGCGGGTGAGCGTGGAGGCCGTGCCCCGCCGCGCGTTCTGGCGGTCGGTGATGATAGCGCGGTGTACGACAGCGCGCGCGGTGGAGGGCGGCGCTGACTTGAGGTCGAGGGTTACCTCCCCGACTCTCTCTCCGGTGAATGAGAGCACGGGGAGGGTGGCCGCCTCGGCGCGCAGCGCGCGGAGGACGGAGACAGCCGCCTTCGTCCTGAAGGCGGCGTGCGGAGCGACCGCGGCGGAGGGGGGTGGGAGGAAGGAGGTGGCTGAGGAAGAGAGGAAGGAGGAGGAGGACGAGGAGAGCGAGAGCAGGAGAGGCGAGGCTACGCCGGCGCCTGGCATTGTGCCGGCTTTGCTGCGCTAGGTACAGGGAGGGGCGAGGACGATGGCTCTGTCCTGCAGCTGCCGCTTCTTCTATCCCTTATCCACCCGTTCCGTTCGGCCACTCCCCGGAGGTCCGACTTCCCGCGGATTTACATTTTTATCGTTATTAAGATTGACGTTTATTCGATTATTACTTTTAAGATGGCACTTACAACTTTGTTAGATGAGAGAAGTTTGAGTTCTTCATTTACCACATTTACACATGTGGTAAGCCACGCCAGCCCGACACGCTGGCGCCCAGTCAGCAGGCACAGGTAAAATGTCATCGCTGCCCCTGTCCATTTTCTTCGTTACGTCGCCCCGGTTCCGCCCTCGCTATCCCCTCGCTCATTTCGTCCCCCCCCCCTCCGCAGCCGCCGACGCGTTCTTCCCCCGCGCTGCCACCGCCTCCTGCTCCCCTCCCACCGTCCCTGCGCCACGGTGACCGCATCTGGTGAGCGCATTGAAGGTATGTGGCCTTATTCCCCCTTTGCACCTAGGTCCTATGTCCATTAGGGTTTAGGGTTAGGGTTCATGGACGCTGACTTTGTCTTCCTCGGTTGATTGTTTCGTAGGCTTGTGATGTAGTGGGAGAGATGGTGTCAACCCGTGTCACAATGGCTAGCAGCAGTGATTGCCCTCCTTGGTAAGTGCTTAATCAACCTAGCAGTGTAGGCAGAATTGGAGGAGTTGGTACCATCTACCTCCTCATTTCTTTCATTATTTATTATGATGCCAAGATCGATTCTGGCAATGCGTTTAGACTAGTCATTAAGGTTGCTAAATTTGTGGCTGATGGTGCGTATGGGCTAGTTGAAATGGCAGAGCAGCAGCATAACTTATGGTTGGATAGAAATTGTCATTATTCTATGGTTCAATTTCATGAGGATTTAGCCACAAAGATAATCTGGAGGCCATCTCAAACACTTGCAGTGTGGGTTTTTGACCAAGATACTAGGTATGAGTGAAAGATTAGGAGGGATGAGCATTTTCAACAGATGATTAAGGACAGATGGGATGAGAGGTTGGTTGTTATTGCAGTGGATGCTATGAGGAAGGATGGTTCTAATGCAAATGCCAGCTCTGGTGCTTCTAAAGCTAGATGTGTCTCTAGTGTCACAAGTGGGCCAACTGGTGTCTCAAGTGTTGTGCATGATGATGCTGAAGGTTGTGGTGATACCTGTAATTCCCCAGCAGAAAACACCTACTGATTTGCCTATAGCAGTTGACTGGACTACTCTAACAATAATAGGGCAGCCTGATGATGATGGTTTAGCAAAAGAGGTTGCTGATGAGGACAAGGTTTATGAGGCAATGGGGTTCATGGAGTCAGAGATAACATCAGAAGGATCTAGAGAAGAGGTGCCCATTCTAGCTATGTCAGCAGAGATGCAGACATATATGAATGACGCAGCTGTTAATGTTGATGATACAGTTGATGTAGAACCAATGCATGAATGGAACAGGAACAATCCTGATATGAGTGTTGGCACATGCTATCCCAGCATGGTTGAGTTTAGGCTAGCTGTTAGGCAGCATGCTATAGACAGGTGGTAAGGTAACAAGGCAAGTGATGTGTCCTAACTGCAGTGAGTATGGACATAGGGTGGTAGCTGGAAATGTCCACTCACTGGCACCAAGAAAAGGTACCTTCTCAATTTTTCTTTATTTTTTACATACAATATGAAACTGATCCTATCATTATTGCAGGAAGAGAACAAAGAAGACCACAGTCAAGGTTGGAAGGAAAAAACCAAAAAAGGTACCACTGCTGATGAAGCACCAACTCCAAGGACCAGAGCAGTTGTTGCAAGGGAGGCAACAACAAAGGCTAAGAGGGAGGCTCTAGAAGTAGAGCTGAAGGCAACAGCAGCAAGGGAAGCAGCCCAAGTAGCAGCAAGGGAAAAAACAGATGCTACAAGAAATGAATTTTCGGCAATTCAAGCACATGAACAAGTATGGAGGTGATGGCTTTAGAAGTTCAGCTCCCAGAGACAGCTATTCAGACCACAATAGCTAGAAGTTACTGCTCTTCTTCCACTGATAGCATGATAATAGATTACCTGTGTAATAAATCAATTATTAATCAAACTTTATTTTCCACAGGTCCTTATTTGCTGAAGATGCACTGGAGGTTGAAGTGCAGCTAGCTAGGAAGATGACTCATAGGAAAAAGCAGTTGGCAACTAAGGTGAAGAAGACACCGCACAAGACAAGAGGAGGAAAGAGAAAGACAGGAGCCTGACTGGTCTTGTTTTGCCAAGATCATGAACTTTCATTATTTTGCAAAAAGAATATTTACTACCTTATTATGTAATGAGATGGCCAAAATAATGTATTATTTTGCATGGCCTTATTACGTAATGATGGGCACAAAAACAGCATGTAATGTCCCAAGTTGAACTTGTTATATGTAATGGGCGTTAAACTCTATCTGTATGCCCAGAATTTGCTACCTGTGTAATGGCCAGGAGTTGCAACCTTAATGTACCATATCTGTCATTGTTATTTGCCTGGCCAGAATGTACCTTTACTGTCAAATGTTTTGATTAAGCACTTTCTGATGAAAATAGGACAACACAGTTCAAAGTTTCATTGCAAATGGTTCATACATCCTGTTCAATTCATTTTCAAACACATTGCTACAAATCAAGTCATTACAACTGATCTGACAACAATTCCAAACACAACAATTGCAACAACAATGAAACAATTCATTTTCCACATCAGGGTCTCCATCTTCTTCTCCAGGTCCTTCTTCTCCTCATAGTTATCATATTCACTGCCCTCTTATCCTTCTTCCAGTTCCTCGACCTCCTCACAGTTGATAATGACGATCTTCTTATCAATCAGCTCATCCAGGTACTCCTTCTGGAATATGTAGAATCCACACAATTTCGGATTCTGCAAACACCATTTCATGACTGTTAAACTCTAGATTTCAAACAAAGAAAGCAAGAGAGATAGAGACACAGCAAAACTGACCCCATTCCTGGGGCACTTAAAAAAGCTCCGGCCCTTGTTGGGAGTGTCCTGCTTGACGCGAAGCTCGATCACACGGGGCAGATGGCAATCCGGACATTAAATCAAAGGAAGCCCAGTTTCTTTACCGATCGGATACGCCACAGCATGCGCGCGCATGGAGCTCCCGCCTCGTTCCTGCCTCCTCAATGCTCTACTGGCGCTGGACGACTCCGCCCTCTGCGACATGGTCACCGTGGCGTAGGGACGGCGGGAGGGGAGTAGGAGGCGGCGGCGGCGCGGGGAAGAACGCGTCGGCGGCGGCGACGGGGGGCGAAATGAGCATGGGGATAGCGAGGGCGGGACCGGGGCGGCGTAACGAAGAAAATGGGCAGGGACAGCGATGACATTTTACTTGCGCCTGCTGACTGGGCGCTAGCGTGTCGGGCTGGCGTGGCTTGCCACATGCGCAAATATGGTAAATGAATAACTCAAACTTCTCTCATTTGGCAAAGTTGTAAATGACATTCTAAGAGTGATAATTGGATGAGCGTCAATCTTAATAATGGTCAAAATGAAAACACCCCCCCCCAAACTTCCCAAGTGCCTGCCCAAAAGGAGGAGGACGCTGTCGCTCGTTTCAGGTTCGACTATTTTAAAAAAAAACATTAATATTACAAGTATTGAAAGGCAATACTAAATAAATCTCCAAAAAGGACTACGTATTGATGAGACATTTTGCTGCGCTAAGTGAATTATTTGCTTGCAGTTTGCTGAAACTGGTTGACACGGGACGGTCAGGGGAAGAAACCGTTCCTCTGCACTCTGCAGTTTAAAGTCAGCTGCAACTGCACCTGCAGACTCACCTGCAGGTGCCCAATGCTTTCAGCACAGCTAGGATAAATAAAGGGTAAAAAGGAATAATCAGAAGTTCTAAGGAATAATCAGAAGTTCTACTTTCCCTTGGCTTCCTGATGATAACCAACTGCATGCGTCTCCTTACCGATAAGGCTACAAACAAGTTCATGCAGGTCAAGAAACCTAACAGATGACTGAGGATTGCATTCTCATGATAGTTATTTTTCAGATATTCTGCCACCCTTGCACAAACCATAAGGTAAAAGCAAGTCAGGAAATAAGAAGTTCAGAACAGATGACCGAAGTTCAAATTATCATGCTTATTTATTTCCTTCTGTTTCAATCTTCCAGGATACATTTTACATAAATGATACAAATAATCTATCCAACATAGTCTTTGGTCCCTACAATAATCATACTGGCTATTGTGTAACCTACAGTTGATATCTCCAAAGCAGAGGCGACCTCTATAGCTTGTCGACTCTGTTTTGCAGTTTATGTGAATAATAATGGCTGCTTAGGAAGATATACTAATGCTTGCGACGGCCGTAGGTCATCTTGATGGCTTTGATGGTAGTTTCTTAACCAGACTAGTGTTACCAGTCACCAATAGTCGAGCACCCTTCACCAGCTCTTCCTTGATCATAAAAAGCAAAGCAGAAGCAAAAACACTTTGCACGATTTTTGTGCCCATTCCTTTATACATCCCTGTCAGACCCTCATATTGTACCATCTTTGTGAATGCATCAAATGTACCTGAGCGCAAGAAATGGCACATTAAGATCTTCAATAGTTGACCAGTAACAGCAAGAAATGGCGTGGCAAGTTAAATATTCTTCAATAGAAAGCCAGCAACAGAAACAAATGGGACCTGAATAAAAAAAAAAGATGAAAAGTAGAGGACTACGGTACCTTTGTAGCGATGCCTCTTGTCATCATTAATCATTTGCTTCACCTGAAGTCTTGCCTGCAGGAAAAAAAAAGCTCAATGTGGAATATATACTCAAATATGAAAGTGGACAACTGTGGCTATCACCAATCCACTAATTAATCACCTTAACAACTAGAAGGGGATATGTAACGACAGTTGCACCAAGTTTCGCAACGGCACCAAGAAGAAAAATCTGAATAAGAATGTTTGAAATGTGAAGTTAGAATTTTATCAAAATCATAGGAATACTAGTATAGATGGGTAGATGACAATGCCAAATTGTCTCTAACATCTAGAGTCAAACATAGAGCAACCAAACATGTCCCGGACAATCAGGCTTTCAAGTCACTTTTACAATAGGTTCAGGGCTTCAGACCCCAATACAGCAAACAATCGCTATGCAACGTGGTATTTGTCATAACTCATAATAAATCACTTGAGGTAATTTCTACCACTGGAAAAACAAAAGCTTACTTCAAGAGCAGTTAGTCCATCAGCTCCCTTCAAATTAGAGGCCCGTCTCTTCTTCAGTTTCTTCAGAAGAGTCTCATACAGCATGAACTGAATTGCAGGATTGCTAACCTACTAGCAGATAAAATTGTAAAATAGCACCATTGTATGACTGAGAAGCAACAGAAAAGGTGAACAACAGTGACTTACCATGATAAGAGCTGGAATTACCCCTTTCCAGAAGCCGAGAACTCCAGCTTCTTTGTACAGTTCCTGAAACTGGAGTTAAACCTAGTCAAACAACCACCACCGCCGCCACCAACAACAAGGCCCTTTAGGCCCAAGCAAGTTGGGGTAGGCTAGAGCTCCTAACAAGCTACCAAAAAAAGGGAAAAGAAAGAGCAAACAATATACTACTTCCATTTGAAGCTAGTAGGTGTATTTTGTTTCGGTAGGACAAGGCTTTGGTTAATAATTTCTTTACTATAACATGATTTCAAAATTGACATCATTAGATTCATATTAAAAACTTCTTACTTATGATTATGATTTTGTATCACAAGACATTAATGGAGTAATTGTGGCCAAAGTCTTGCCCTAAAGAAATAAAATATGCCCACTAATTTCGAACAGGGCTTAAAGTATTATTAAGTCATCGATAATAATGATATTATTAGGGGATCTAAAGTATGTTCATGTTTCAGGCATGTGAATAGCTGATCCCCACATGCCTATCCAAGGACAGTTCTTTAGGTGTATTCCACCCTTTCAATTCCGTTTTTACTGACTCCTCGCTCCTCCCATGTCAAATTCGGCCAACCCTACCTCTCCTAACATCAGTGTCGCACCTTAGTATACTCCAACCAGTCAATGATCAATCAATGCCAAATGATTTATTTTTGCATTTGGATCGCACTACTCTGAGTCTTCTAAACTAATGTTATTTCTCCTGTTCCTCCAGTCTTATCACAATATGGCTCCCTAGATGTCCATCCATCCTCAAATGCAAAATGAAATCATCTGGCTTTGATTGATCATTGACTGGTTGGAGTATACTGTAAGACATAATCTGCTGCTCCCCAATTCTCTCTTTGCTGCAGATTAGGATTAGGAACTGGTCAGCATGGCTGTCCATTCTCTAGTGCTGTAGCTTGTAAGGCATTAGGCCATCTAGTACTAGTAGTTGATAGAAACTACATCAGCCATGTTGGTAGTGGGCTGATCTAAGCAAGGTGCTTGTAGTACTAGGAGTAGTTGGGGCTGTACTCAGCCATGCTCATGTGTACCTTATAGTTGGTACATGAGTTGTACCTATTCTACCACTATGCAATGAGAAAAGGCAGTTTAGTTGCCACAAACCAGAAGGGCAGAGCCTAGCCAACGCCGGTGCTTGTGCTGTGTGTGTGCTGTGCTCACCCCTTCTTCTATCTCTAGCCATAGTGAGTGAGTGTGTGTGCTGGTAAGCTTACTGCTTACCTGTGCAGGGCAGCAAGGGACCAACAAGTGGTATCGGAGCCGTACAAGTTCGCCTGCATCGCCGGACTAATCGCCGGCGACGATGGCACCTGACTCGGAGACGGGCGACAGCATCGGAGCTGCGGGAGGCAGCAGTGCTGCTGGGGCTGCCCAGCCACGACAGGTCGTTGTGCGCACGGTGCGGGAGGTCAGCGGCACCAGTTGGCCGACGCTGACTCGCACCAACTATGGCAAGTGGACGGTGACCATGAAGTTCAAGCTCAGAGCCCGATGGCTCTGGAATGCCATTGACAAGGGCACCGACAACGAAGAAGACGACATGTCAGCGCTGGAGGCCATCCTCGCTGCTGTGCCTGCGGAGTATTGGGAGCCGTTGAGGGCGAAGAAGTTTGCTAAGGAGGCGTGGGAGGCCATTGCAGCGATGCGCGTCAGCTCCGATCGCACAAAGAAGGCGACGGCCCAGCTGCTGAAGCAGGAATACGCCAACCTCAAGTTCAAGGATGGTGAATCGGTGGAGAACTTCTCCCTCCGCCTGCAGTCGCTCATCAGCAAGTTGGGGAACCACGGCGTCACCATCGACGAAGAAGAGGCGGTCTCCAGGTACCTCCACTCCGTGCCGGTGAAGTACATCCAGATCGCTCTCTCCATAGAGACGATGCTGGACATGTCCACCCTCACTATTGAGGATGTGACTGGCCGTCTGTGGGCGGTGGACGAGCGCATGGAGCAGGCCACAACAACGACGGACAGCGGCAAGCTGCTGCTGACAGAGGAGTGGGCTGCCCGGATGAAGGAGAAGAAGTCTGGGGAAGCCTCCTCCAGCCGCGGTGGCGACGGCAAGCGCCGCGGCAAGGCTTCTTCGGAGAAGAAGAAGATCGACCCCAACGCCTGCCGACGCTGCGGGAAGATAGGCCATTGGGCAAAGGAGTGCCAAAACCGCAAGCAGGAGAAGAAGGACAAGACTCACTTGGTGCAACCTGATGATGATGATGATGAGGCCACTCTCCTGATGGCAACATTCTGTGCACTGCACGACGTTGAGGCCAAGGAGAAAGGAGAGGTGATGGCGGTACAGGAGCACGGGAAGGCTCTAAAGGCTATCAACCTCGACGAGCCACGTGCCCAAGTCCACCTGGGATGTGTGGGCGGCGAGTAGGAGCAGCGGTGGTACCTAGACTCCGGCGCCAGCAACCACATGACGGGTTCCAAGGCGGCCTTCTCCGAGCTCGACGGCAACATGACCGGCACGGTGAAGTTCGGTGATGGCTCAAGGGTGGCGATCCAAGGGCGTGGCACCATCATATTCAGGTGCCAGAACGGCAAGCATCGCGCACCGATGGATGTAAATTACATCCCGTAGCTGCGTTCAAGCATCATCAGCATTGGTCAGCTGGATGAGCGCGGCAGCGAGGTGCTGATCAAGGATGGCGTTCTTAGGATCAAAGACCAGGAGCAGCGCCTTCTTGCCAAGGTGAAGAGATACCGGAACCGGCTGTACCGGCTCTACTTGAAGGTGGAGCAGCCCATCTGCCTGGCTGCACGACACACGGAGGAGCCGTGGCTGTGGCATGCCCGGTATGACTATATCAGCTTCGACGCTCTTGGTCGACTGGAGAAGATGGTGACTGGGCTGCCTCACATCGAGCACGCCGGCGAGCTGTGTGACAGCTACTTGGCTGGGAAGCAAAGAAGGTTGTCGTTCCCGAAGACGGTGAAGTATCGCGCGACGGAGGCCCTCGAGCTGGTCCATGGTGATCTCTGTGGGCCGATCACACCGGCGACGCATGGAGGCCGCAAGTATTTCATCTTGCTCGTGGACGACTACAGCCGGTTCATATGGCTACAGCTCCTGACGAGCAAGAACAAGGCGGCGGAGGCGGTCAAGAAGTTCAAGGCGCGCGCGGAGGCGGAGAGCGGCAAGAAGCTATGCGTGTTGCGGACTGATCACGGCGGCGAATTCACCTCTGTAGAGTTTGCAGCGTACTGCGCGGATCAAGGTGTGGTGCGCCACCACACCGCGTTGTACACGCCGCAGCAGAATGGTGTGGTGGAGAGGCGCAACCAGACGGTGGTCAGCATGGCGAGGTCGATGATGAAGGCTAAGAAGATGTCGGCGGAGTTCTGGGGAGAGGCGGTGACCACGGCGGTGTTCATCCTCAACCGCGCGCCCACCAAGGCTCTGAAGGGCAAGACGCCGTTCGAGGCTTGGCATGGATGTAAGCCAAATGTGTCCTTCCTCAGGACATTTGGCTACGTTGGTCATGTCAAGAACAAAATGCCCCACCTCGGCAAGCTGAAGGACAGAAGCACGCCCATGGTGCTGTTGGGCTATGAGGAGGGCAGCAAGGCCTATCGGCTCGATGATCCCAAGGGAGGCAAGGTGGTGGTCTCTAGGGATGTATTGTTCGACGAGATGGCTGCTTGGGACTGGGAGGATCAAGGAGCCGGGGAAGCTGCTGGTGTCAGCAGCACATTTGTTGTCGAGCACCTGGTGATCCAAGGAGGAGGAGATGATGGTGCTGGAGAGCATGCTGCTGCTGGAGAGCAGGCTGCTGCTGGAGAACAGTCTCCACCAGCAACGGCACATTCACCTCCACCACAGTCCCCTGCGACAGCAGCACAGGGGACACCCCACCAGAGTTCGCATCACCACCCACCGACATCGACGAGTTCGTGGATGCTTTTCATGACGGCGAGGAGGTTCGGTTCAGCCGGGTGGACAACATTGTCGGCGAAGGGAGAGCTCCTGGGCTGGCTAGCCGGCTTCTGGATAACTCAGAGCTACTCCTTGTCAGCGCAGAGGAGCCGCCAATGTTCACAGTGGTTGAACGCGACGCCAATTGGCGTCGGGCGATGTTGGAGATGAGGGCGATCGAGGACAATGGGACATGAGAGCTGGTGGATCCACCGGTGGGCTGCAGGCCGATCGGGTTGAAGTGAGTCTACAAGGTGAAGCGGGACGAGCACGGCACCATTGTCAAGTACAAGGCTCGGCTCGTCACCCGAGGCTTCGTCCAGCGCGAGGGCATCGACTTCGAGGAAGTCTTCGCTCTGGTGGCGTGCATGGAGTCCGTTCACTTGCTGTTGGCCATGGCAGTAGCGAAGGATTGGCGTGTCCACCACCTCGACGTCAAGTCTGCGTTCCTAAACGGCGAGCTCGCGGAGACGGTCTTCGTCAAGCAAGCTCCGGGCTTCGTTGTCAAGGGCGCTGAGCACAAGGTGCTCAAGCTGCGCAAGGCGCTCTACGGGCTTTGGCAAGCTCCAAGGGCGTGGAACGCCAAGCTCGACGCCACTTTGGGCGAGCTTGGGTTCACTCGCTGCGCCACAGAGCACGCGCTCTACACACGGCGGCAAGGGAAGGAGGAGCTCGTCGTCGGCGTGTATGTGGACGATCTGATCGTCACTGGAGCGCGAGTGGAAGACATTGAAGCATTCAAGCGCGAGATGGCGGCTCAGTTCAAGATGAGCGATCTCGGCGCGCGCTCCTACTACCTCGGCATCGAGGTGAGGCAAGGGAAGGAGAGCACCTCCCTGGGCCAGCGCACCTATGCGGAGAAGTTGCTGGAGCACAGCGGCATGGCGAAGTGCAAGCCGTGCGCAACTCCAATGGAGGAGCGGCTGAAGTTGTCCAAGCACAGCACGACGGCGAAGGTGGACGCGACGTGCTATCGGAGCATCGTCGGCGGGCTGCACTACCTCACGCATACTCGGCCGGACATCGCGTTCGCGGTCGGGTATGTTAGTCGGTTCATGGAGGAACCGCGTGAGGATCACTGGACGGCGGTGAAAAAGTTGTTGCGCTACGTCAAGGGGACGCTCGATCAAGCGATCATCTTCCCCAAGAGTGGCGGCAAGGGTGGGTTGCGGCTCACGGTCTTCAGTGAGGCATCCCCAAGGCAAAGGAAGGTGAGCCGGAGCTCACTATTTTCAGCGACGCAGACATGGCGGGCGACATCGACGGGCGACGGAGCACCTCTGGTGTGGTTGTCTTCCTTGGAGCAACTCCCATCGCCTGGCAATCGCTGAAGCAGAAGATTATGGCGCTGTCGACGCGTGAGGTGGAGTATGTCGCAGCGGCCACGGCGGCGTGCCAGGCTGTCTAGTTGCGCCGGCTGCTGGGCGAGCTAATCGGCGAGGAAGCTCACCCGCCAGCTCTGATGGTGGACAATCAGCCCGCCATCGCCCTCGCCAAGAATCCTGTCCTCCACAACTGGAGGAAGCAAATCGACAGCAAGTTCCACTTCCTCCGGGACTGTGTCGATGGAGGACAGAGCGTCATCGAGTTTGTGAGACCAGCAGACAGCTTGTTGACATCCTCACCAAGTCACTCGGGCACCTACGGTTCATGGAGCTGAGGAAGATGATACGCATGGATGAGGTCAAGGCTTCAGGTTAGCAGCAAGATTAGGCGAAGAATTGTAAGACATAATCTGCTGCTCCCCAATTCTCTCTTTGCTGCATATTAGGATTAGGAACTGGTCAGCATGGCTGTCCATTCTCTAGTGTTGTAGCTTATAAGGCATTAGGCCAGGAAAAAGTCTACTTAACCCCCCCACCTTTCATACTTGGTCTACTTCACCCCCCAACTATAAAACCGTCTGTTTTACCCCCTGAACTTTCTAAAATCGTCTATTTTACCCCCTGGGCGGGTTTCAGTGGCGGGTTGCTACAATAGCATTGGTTTTGAATTTCCTTTTTTATTTATTTTCGGTGAAATTTTGAAAAATCATAGTAAATCATAGAAAAATCATAAAATGAAAAATCTAATTTTGTTGGACTCCACATGAGTAGATCTACATAGTGAATATATAATACGGTATGCTTTAGTACAAATTTTTTACTGTAGCCTTAGATTAATTGAAAAATCTAATTTTGTCTGTAATTAATTGGAATAATTCATAGCTGCAGCTTCTATGGTCCAATTGTGGTGAAATTTTTATGGTACGCTAATTATTGTATGCTTGAACTATAGTAAAAAATTCGTACTCATTGGACTATGTATAACTTAGTTATAGATAAATTCTAATTAATTACAGAAAAAATTGGATTTTCCAATTAATCTAAAGCTACAAAAAAAAATTTATACTAAAACATACCGTATTATATATTCACTGTGTAGATCTACACATGTGGAGTCCAATAAAATTAGATTTTTCAATGATTTACTATGATTTTTCAAAAATTCACCGAAAATAAAAATTCAAAACCACTGTCACTGTAGCAACCCGCTGTTACTGTAGCAAAAAACTACTGAAAACCGCCCTATGGGTAAAATAGACGGTTTTAGAAAGTTCAGGGGGTAAAACAGACGGTTTCATAGTTGGGGGGTGAAGTAGACCAAGTATGAAAGGTGGGGGGTTAAGTAGACTTTTTCCCATTAGGCCATCTAGTACTAGTAGTTGGTAGAAACTACATCAGCCATGTTGGTAGTGGGCTGATCTAAGCAAGGTACTTGTAGTACTACGAGTAGTTTGGGCTGTACTCAGCCATGCTCATGTATACCTTATAGTTGGTACATGAGTTGTATATATTCTACCACTATGCAATGAGAAAAGGCAGTTCAGTTGCCACAAACCAGAAGGACAGAGCCTGGCCAATGCTGGTGCTTGTGCTGTGTGTGTGTTGTGCTCACCCCTTCTTCTATCTCTAGCCATAGTGAGTAAGTGTGTGTGCTGGTAAGCTTACTGCTTACCTGTGCAGGGCAGCAAGGGACCAACATATACTACCTCTGTCCACAAAAGAATGCAATTCTAGGTGCATTCTTGGTTAACATGTCTAAAGTTTGACGAAATATATAGGTACAAGTATTGATGTTTACGACACTAAATAAGTATAGTAAGAAAATATATTTCATGAAAAATCTAATGATACTTACTGATATTATAAGTACTGATTTTTTTTATTTATAGTTAGTCAAACTGAAGATACTTTGACCTGATACTATGCTAGAATTGCATTCTTTTGTGGACGGAGGGAGTATATTACATCCACCGTTTTTGAAGTCAAAGAGGTTTTGAATTTCACATTTGCACTGTCTTGTCAAAGCAGAGTTCAAAATAACAAACGCCCCCTGCATTTAGCACATCATAATTTATTTGTAGAGTTCAAATTCAAACCACTTTATTTCCATAAGCTCAAGCGAGGTGCATGTTGCCATGCAATACTAGAACTAGCAGTGAGCATAGCATCAAAACAGTACTGGTTTCAGGAAATATCAAGTAGTTGTCTAGTGCTTCTTCCTGTTCAACTAACAAACCATGGGAAATTAGGGGAGAAACCCTCTGAAAAAACAGGCTGATACCCTACCAAATTCGTAACATTGCCAACTTCTACCCAACCATGCATGACCAATTGACAGCATAGAAAGAGCAACTAAAAGGGACAAGCATACAATCAAGTTATAGGTATAAATTATCTGTGGCAAACTAACATACTGATATTCATCCTAGTGTAAGAGCAAAACCTAAAAACAAATCTGATATTCATCCTAGTGTAAGAGCAAAACCTAAAAGCAAATCTTCGGGATGAAAATAATAGAGAAGCACTACTGAATTGCAATCCATCTAGAATTGAAGGATGAGCATAGTCTTTCTGATACAACAAACTACACAAAGTTATAAAGATTGTCCTGATGTAGTTGATATAAGACGTTAATTATGAACAGAGTATCTCTTCCTACAAGAGAAACGAGGAGAGTTATACTCACAACATCAATTGTTTTGTATGGAGTGTTTTCAGTTACAACACCTTCAAGGGTCTTGTCAAGAGCACATGTCAACCCCTGAGGACTTTGCTGTTTGTTTGCCTTTCTGTGAGTCTGCAAACAGAATGAAATATCAATACTCAAATGTACTGCCACATGATTTCCAGTTCTGCACTAAAAGTAGGTAGCAGAGAAGAAAGATATGCTCACTTGCATTCGTGTAACAACAACCCAAATCGGGTTTGTGAGCAGTACATTGACGCAGCTACAAAAAGACGAGACAAATTAGGCAGCAAGAGCACATAAAATCGATAAGATCAAAAGTGATAGCAACTATCTCCAGGAATAGACAATGCACTGCTTTCTAGTAGTCAACAGAAGGTGCTCAGCTATATTCCAATTCCAATTACCCAGACAGCGCAGCGACAGTGAGAGACTGGAGCATCCCGACAGACCCATCGCCTAGCCCTCTCCTGGATCGCTCAAGGGCCTTTGCCTCGGCCCTGTTCCGGAATATTTGGTAGAAGTAGTAGTAGACACCCTGACAGTAACACAATAAGCAACGATTCAGAACCATCTAAATCTTCACAAAGTGAGGAGTGAAGCTGGCAAATGAACCAACCTGGGAGGCAGCGGTGCCGACAAGCGAGGGCATAAGCCCGCCGTACAGGCGCCCCCACCCCTCATTCTTCACAACCTACCACAGCAGAGGAAAATCCAGAGATGGCGGGCAGCATTAGACCCGGATCAGGCTAAATCACTCAAAAATTCAGACGAGGAAGAGGGAAGAGGAAGGAGGCGGACCAGGTACAACTGCCGAGTGGCGCCGTCCTTGAACGCCGGCTTGGAGGGGTCGCGCTCCGTCTGCTGCCGCGCGTTCACCTGCCGCCGAGGAAAACCTCAAAATTTCAGCAACCGAGAAATCCAGGGCTAAGGTCGGCAGCGAGGCGTCAAGCCACGTACGGTCTGGAGCGGATAGGTAAGGAGCTGGGCGATGATCCCGCCGCCGGCGCCGGCGAGGCCGTTGATCAGCGCGTCTGACATCTCCCCCTGCTCGTACTATCCAATCCCCGCCGCCCCCTTCTCTTCCCCGCTTCGCCGGCCGGCGGATCACAGCGGCGAGCCGAGCAAAACTGGACTCCACGCCGCCCCCCAACGGGTTGCTTCCGCCGCCTGCTTCTCGGTCTCCTTGGATTGTGGGAGACGGAAGCGAGGACGGGGCGGGGGCGTGGGCGTGGTGGAGTGGACTCGACTCGGCTCTCGGCTCGGCGCGCCCACCGGGGTCCCCCGTCTCCCGTGCTCTCTTTTCGTTAGAGTTCAGATCAGAAGACAGCTGCAGCTTGCCTTGCTGTGTGCCTTGCTGTGTGTGATCGGCACGGCACACCAGCCTGTTTTAAAACCCAGTTCGCAGTTCGCACGCGTTTTTAATGGTTTTGTCAAGACTTTCAACCACCAAAGTACAGTTTTTTTTTTTGAAACTCCAAAGTACAGTGCTTCTAACCTCTGTAAAATGGAACTTTTCTGGTTTTGGTTTCGGGTGGGAGAAATTGGAGGAATATTTCACCGCTTGACACGTTGCGGGGAAAGCGCAGTCGGTACGTTTCACGGCGGGCGACCGGACAGCGATGGAGTACTAAGCCGTCGTTTCCTCGTGGTGGCTGCTATTGGGCCCTGGATGCCGGAACATGCTGCTCGCCAGTGACTGTGACTTGTTCCGGTCGTCCTGTACTGAGGGTTCGAACCATACCAGATGAGGCCATACACTTTGGCATGTATAGTTGCAAATGAGTGTAGGAATTATGTTGGGTTGTTTGTGTGGACGATTTTATGGTATAAATTGGTGTGCCCAACTATATTTGGTTTGACGCACGACAGAAGGTGTGAGCATCCAAATATGATTTTGGTGAGGTTACCACCCTACTCAATAGTACAAGGCAGACAATAGAGATGTTTTTGCGCCTCAGTTCATTGTGCGCTGCCATTGACAATGACATTAGAGCATCTAATGACAAAATACAAGCATACAACAATTTTTCCATCTAATAGTCAACAACATTAGGGTCACAATACCTCATAAGGTCATTGTCATTACAAGTTTACACGGCACATTTTGAGCATCACAGGCAGTTGTAGCAACGAGCAAAAACGAACCACAGGAGCACCAGCAAGAAAAAAGATGCACCACAACCACAACAAATAACACCGGTGTGTTCCTGACCACCTTTGGTCGAGGCTTGACTAAAATTTTATCATCTTCACAACCCATGAACTCTAAGTATGATGCTTATGTCTCTTCTTTGTTAAGAAAGCTCTTGTAACTGTTGTTTTTAAAACCAGTTACTTGGGCATTGCATCTTGGCTAGGTTGCATATACCCTAGGAACTTTGCCACGGTACACAACATATCAAGCCATGTGCCTCTTAAAAAAACACATAAAAGCAAGTATAAGATGTTGATAAGATGAGGGTTAGTTCAATCGATTTGCCTCATATTTAATTGCCTTTTTATTTGACCTTGAACTTGGAGCTTAAGAAACATAGACAACAACAAACCTCAAACAGATAGTAGAAAACCAAGATCATGACAGGCATGAAACCATGAGAGACATCCAGCTCAGCCATCAGATCATCACAACCGCCCAGCTGTTGTTTGGGTATGGATGTCTCACATGGTTTGATGACAGCCATGAGAAGCATAAGTAGAAGATAGAAGAAACAATGCTCCAGTACCTCACAAGTCCAAGGTCATCAGTGTGCATAATCTATTACTCAAACTGGCACTGTTATGTTCATAGGCATGAAAAGGATCTCACAATTGTATCAACCTCAGTCAAAAAATGGTTGACATCATAGGCACAAAAAAATACAGGCCTCAGCTAACTACAAACTAACTTATGATCATCTTGCAAGCTAACTACAATCATCTCAGGTGGCAAATAAGAACATAAATTGCTGAGGCAAGTTCATGGTTGCCATGGAAACGTGGGACACGTCCATCCCAGTCATCCGGTAGGCATGGCTACAACAGTTGCTTGAGAATGGACGTATCCCACGGTTTGATGACAGACATGAGAAAATATAAGTAGACAATAAAGCAGCAACATGAAGAATACCCACAGCCATCTCAGATTGCTATAGTTTGCATCATCGGCCAAATAGGAACTCCAACAATAAGAATAACAAGAACAAGAACAACATCTGAAATGTCTCAAATCAACTAAGTGACAATCCAAGGTATTTTAGGGCTCAGATCAACTAAGTGACAATTCATCACCCGTTGTTAATGTCTACACCACACAGATCAACACAGCCTCACATCCATCACCATGGCTCCTATGCTTTACAAAACTAGGTGCAACCTTGGTCAGGCGACAAATGGTTCTTTGTAGCATCAGATGAGGCCAGTGCTACACATCAAAATACTTTCTACAGCATAAGACAGTTAGCATGGCTATATGCAAAAGTGGAGAGGCCAACTCATATACATCTAAGCAAAGTAGGTTGTGCTCAGGTAGGTCCTAAGCCACAGGATCCTATGTGCCTCTGTAATCTGAACAAAGCAAAGTCCCTCAGCCTTGTTCTTCAGCAGTTACACCAGAGGCAAACATGAGTGCCTCCTGTGAGTACCCAGGGCAGTCCATAACACAGCCATAAAGGTCTTGATGCACCTCATTGTGATGTGGAGTCTTGAGGGCATCTCCTACAGACTCCACAGCCTTGATCATTCCATTCATGAGGTCTATTTCTTCTTGGGCAAGCTTCCTTCTCTTGCCACCCTTTCCTCCTAGCCCTTGGCATCAGAACCCTTAGAGCCTTCCATGCCAGAAGGAGTTCCCTTTCCAGAATCAGCATCTGTGCCACCTAAGTCAGTGATGTCCTCAACAGCATCAATATCACCTTGGCCAATGTCAGTTAGAGTACCCAGAGGCTCATTTGAGTCCATTGCATACCTACCTGTGGCCTGGTTACCACCAAAGATGGCCTCCATCTAAACATAGTTCTCTATTGGTGTGTTCAAGAAGTTAGCATCAGCAGGATGGTCCTAGTTAGTGAAACAGATATAACTATTAGACATAGGGGAGCAAAAGAAAAGGGATAGCTGAGGTGTTATTCAAATAGTTTCTAACCTTGGTGTGGCCAAGCAGGTGTTCATCATTAAGTACTATCATATGGTGGTCCTCATCCCACAGAGCACCACTCAAATCCTTAAGCCTAACAATCTTAACCCACCTTTGCCTCCACTTTCTCAAGTGATTGTAAATCTACTGGGTGCTCACATTGACCCTAGAAAACTTAGAGACCATGAATGCAACCTGCCTAACATGTACCTCCTTGAACCCTTTGTCAGTTTTGACCCCCTACCCCACCAAATCATGGAACCTCCTTAGCATGAACCCAGACTGAACAGGAGTCCAGTGCATAGGGCCATTGGGCTAAGGGGCTACTGGATTGCCATCATCATTAGCAACTACCCCACCCTATTCCACCACATTGTCCTCACCACCAATGTTAACAACCTGGTCAAGCATATTGTCCATTTTCTATCCACAACCAGCATAACATTAAACAAACCAGTACGTAAGGAAAACAAATTGCATGATACGAAATACAAGTTCAATAGATCAAATAGGCAGAAAAGAAATAGGTACTACATCATTGCAAAGTGCCATAGGTCTTAGTTAAAATACAAATTCCAGCAATGCTACTAAACAGTACACACACCATGCCACTACACCCTAGAATTCCCCCTGTTTTGCCACATCTATGCAGCCCATGCCTCCCTCTATTGTGCCTAGGTACCATTGTCAGGGACATGATCTGGCTGTGAGGCATTGTCATTGATGTTAGGAGTCCATGTGGATTCAGCAGGTACATGCTCATCCTGTCCATGCCTAAGGATCTAATTGTGAAGAATACAACAAGCAAGAACAAGCTTAACTTGGGTCTTGTATAGGTGGAAAGGCTTGTTGTCCAATATCCTGAATCTATTCTTTAGAGCCCCAAAAGCCCTCTCAACTATTACTCTAAGAGACGAATGCCTTAGATTAAAAAGCCCTCTTTGATTTTGAGGTCGGTTTGAACCAAACTCCCTCAAATGGTACCTTGTGGCACGAAATGGTGGCAAGAAACCAGGCCTCACTGCATATCCAGCATCGACAAGATAGAATTTACCTAGAAATTAGCAGATAGGGATATGTTTTAGTAGTTTTATTTAGGATTAAGCAAAGTGTCAATGGTTTTTTGTGGTTTGAATGATACCTGGTGGCACTCTAAGGCCATCAGCTCTTTTAAGAGCATTAGACAAGATAAGAGCATCATGTGTAGATCCCTCCCAACCAGCAAGCACATAGGTGAATCTGAGGCCAAAGTCCACGGCTGCCAACACATTTTGTGTGATGGTGTGCTTCTTGCCTCTAAAGGTAGCTTGCATCTTCACAGGCACTCTAGCTAAGACATGAGTACCCTCAATTGCTCCTATGCAGTCCTAAATCAACAAAACATAAGTGCAAGTGAACATTAACACTAAACTAATAATGAATAAGACCTATGTATCACAAGTTATGGATACCAACCTTGAACTAAGGGTACCACCTTATGCTCCCAAGGATCATAGGATGGATATTAGTAGCAGGAGGGACAATCAATTTATTCCTCAGCTCTCCTACCGCATATAACACCTTCTAGAAGAACCTACTAATTATCTCTACGGACCTCCTAAAGGTGAGGTCAACTACCCTAAACCTCTCATTATGACCAACAACATGCAACAACATGGCTACTTGTTCTTCAACAGATGCATGTATGCTGACAGTGACAAGCTCTCTACTACAAAAAAGGTCACAAAGTTGAAAAAAGGGGCCCTCTTCATTCTAAGAAGGTTGACACAGTGCACATCATTAGATTCATAGATGTATCTAAGGTTGTTCATCCTTTGTTTGTCCCTCTCAGCCATGGGACCATAGGTGACTGAGCACGAATCTTCAACTCTCCTCCTAAACCAGATGAAAAACCAAGCAGCCGCTGCAACAACCACAGCAGCGATAG